ATGAGTAATATTGTTTCTGAAGATAGTAAAATGACTTACAACAAAAATAACGACTGCTCACGCGATCCATGCGCCATCAAGTGACATATGATACTAAAAAGGACTACTAACGGTACTTAAGGTATTTTTTCATACAGCAGCACTCTGCGGCAGCAAAACGTCACGTGACTCAAATTTTCTAGGACTGCTTTCGGTAGGTATATTTACTGCTCTTATCTAACCTTCATTCAAGGCCATTATTTGTCGTTGATGGAATTATATTGTTATTGCATAAGTATGAACAATAAAATTTTTTTGGTTTTGCTGCTTTTTGTTCGTTTGAACTTTGCAAAGAATGGCATTGAGTGAGGGTTAGGTAAGAGCAGCAAATATACCTAGCGGAAGCAATCCTAGAAAATTTAAGTCACGTGATGTTTTGCAGCAGCGTGCTGCTGTATGAAAAAATACTTAAATATTGTAAAAATTACAAACTTGGAAAAAAAAACATAGTATACACTTTAATACATAATATACAGAGTATTTTACATTTTGTATGTATTATACACAAAATACGTATAATACGTATAATACAATGTTTAATACATGTATTTATTCCCTGAATAAGATACAATGTAATATACTTTTTTGACATTTTTATACATATTATACCTACATACGTGACACTTCTTGAATATAAATCAGTATTAAACTGGACTATGGACGCAATTTTGCTTCATAATTAAGTACATGACTTTTTCTTTGCAACTACCTACGTGGTATAATCAAGGACGGAATTAATTATGCGTAGAGAATCGGTAAATATTCAGAAAAACGGAGCACCTTTGAAGGTCAATGAGCTTAACAAATTTTGTCATGGATTTTCTTGAACAACAATCTGCAACTTTAGCCGTCGCCCGTTGTTTGTTGAAAAACTATAAACAAAAAAAATATCATATTATATATATATATATATACAGGGTGTCCCAGAATTGGTTTAACATCTCTCGTAGGCAGGTAGAAGGAATAAAACTGAGTCGAAATGTCCTATACCGTTTTACTAGATTCGCAATAGTTACTGAGATTTTAATTAACAAAGATCCGCGAATAAGCGTGCATCAGGCTGTCTTAAGCTGGGTATACACCTAGCGAACAAACGCCAAACGAACAGCGAGCGCAAACGTTTGTTATTATCATTCGTCAGATTTATACGCCAAAACAAATGCGAACAGAACATTTGATTCGCATTTGGTTTGGTTCCCTCATGAGGCATTTGTTTTGGCGTATACATCTGACGAATGATAAT